CCCCAAAACCCCAAAACCCCATGCTGTCTAATTCTAAGGTTTCTGAATAAGTGTTTTAAAAATCAAATGCGTAACAGAATAGATAGATTAATTTATTAAAATCAGCTTTGATCTAACAATAAATTTATATATATTCAATCGTCAAAAGATGACAAAGTAGACATTTATTTCATCAAGAAAAGAATCATGCTAAGATAAATTGATCAAAAGACTTTCATTTTTCGTGTTGGCCATTTACTTTAACAATGTCTTTGGCAGATTTTCATCTAGTTTATTATTTATAATAGAACACTCGGTAATTGTTATATGGATGCTGTTGACTTCATATCCATCGCCAGATTATAATGATTACATTAATTCTAAAAATTTTGTGCTAACAAAATCTCTAATGAGTTATGATACTGTTATTGTTCTTGGACTTATACTTCTCGCGATAATGTTAACTGCGTTCTTGATTTTCCTAAAGAAGCTTTTGAAATAATCATCATTTGAGCAGACCAAAGAGACATCAATTTTGAGTACTATGCTATCTGGATATATCGGCTTATCAAGAGCTCTTTTATCATTTTTTATTGCAATTTATGTGTCAGCCTCAATACTGCTGCTCTCTTCAAAGGATATATCGACTCCTTTTGCGTACTATGCCATTCTTATAATTCTAACGGTGAACCTGATACTTTTCCTGTTCTCATAGTTTTTATCTTTCAAATTGATCCAGATGCCAGTTCATACTGAGAAATTTTTCTGGAATAATATATTTAATAAGAATCTTTACCTCAAAGAAATTTTCAAAATTGTTATCGCACTCTCAGATAGCTTTATACCAAATATTAGGTAGAATAAGACTTTAACAATATTTTATTTTATGGTGCTGTCAGGTGCTATAACTTACTTCAATGTGAAAAGAAGTTTTTATTTCGATGCTCATCTAGATAAAATCAAGATGTACTGTCACAGATTCCTTTTAACGACTAGCTATGTCTGCATCATTCGAGTCGTGTTTGAGATTCAATTAGCAGAGCTGCTGATCTTTATTCCTTTGATAGCCTACTCGACCATTAAAATTTTCGATTATATAGATGGGAAACAAAGAGGTAAAATGTATAACCTTATGTAGCAACTAGAAAACTTACCAACATCTTAGATATAATAAATATTGCTGCAAATGTTATAGATGACTGAAAGATAAAACAGCGAGGATTTAAAATAATTAAAAACTATTTTTAATGAACACAGAATGAGTTGTTTCAACCTTGAGTGCATATGCTCAAAGTATGAGAGTTATGTAATTAATAAATTCAAAGTTACACAATAGAAGAAGGAGACGTCAAAAGAAGAGGTTCCATTGTATGATTACGATGATACAAGAAAAATTATGTTTGATGATGATAAAAGTTTTATGGAAAAAAGTGGAGTTAGAGGTTTATCAAATGAACTTGAAGACTAATGCAATGAGTTAAGGCAATCAAATGCAAATGAACTCAGTCATATGTCAATAGATTCTCCTTTGAAACTAAGTGGTTCATAGGAAAAAATCTAAAGTCCAAAGGGATAATTCGTAGAAGTTAGCTTTATGCAAAAAGTTGACAATTTTACATTTGCTTTCGAAACTAATTAAGTCATCTAGGGCTTGTAAATAGAAGACTTCTATAAAGAAGTTTCTAATATTGAACATTTAAATAAGAAAATATATGATATGAACAATTCCTAGTAACAAAGTGCAAGGGACAAAAATGATGAGTAATTCTTGGCTTTTGAAAGTCCTTATGAGGCTAGAAAGTATCTATTTATTTGGCTCCTTGAAAAGATATTTAAGCAATATGAAAATAATAGTAATCAATTCCAGTCTCTATGAAACATTGAGTTTGAGCTCCTATACATTAATTTCATTAATCAGAATCTCAAAAAGCACTTCCTCGCAATCTTTTAATTACTTAAGATCTATGAATACAAATAAAACCTAAAGTTCTTTGATAGATTGCTGTTTTGTGTAAGTGAAAGACTAATGCTTGAGGAAGCAATGAATAACTTTAAGAATTACTTTGGTGGTTTCGACTACTCTCTATTCATTGATGGAAATCAATAACAAATTGAGCTAGATGCTAACTATGAAAAGACAACACTAAATATTATCGATTTTTGGTAAAAGTTTAAATCAGACGATATTAGGATTCAGTAAATTTTAGACTTAGGTGTAACAATATCCTAAGATATTAATAGAATTAAAAGAGTTACAAAGAGATAGGAAGAAACCTATGCCATTAGAAAAGATCTTGCAAAATATCAACTATATGCTATGTTTCATCTAGAAATGCTCCATGATCCATTCACCTTTGGGCAAATGGCAATGTATCTAAAAAACTCGATTGTATTTAAGACCAGGAAATTTCTAGGATAAGATTCAGGCAGTGGAGCTGACTCAATGATATAATATCAATAAATGTAAATGGATGAGAAGGGAATTTGTATAGCCCAAGCTTGGGCAGGAGAACGCTAGTCACTTCAATTTTTATTTGGTAATAAAACTTTCTGTGAGATGTTCAAGACCACTTAGCTATTATTACCTGGAAATAGAATTGATAATATCCTTCCTTCAGAAATACAATAATAGCACTAAGAATTCGTTAAGAGATTCTATTGTGACGCAAAGCCTAGTATCCTTGGAAATTTGAGAATATAGTTTGCAAGAACCTTTGATGGCTATCTTCTTCCAGTCAAATTAAGAATAAATTTCTACTTTCATCCAACTTTCCACTATTGTTTCTTTGCATAGTTTGAAAGAATAAAGTTTATGAATCTATTTTAGGAGGATTAAACAAAAATAGCTACAGAAGATTGTATGATTATAACAACTGATGATAGATTAGTAATAAATGAATTCTCTGAAAATGTAGGTTTATTTTCAGGTGTTTCAAGAGAAAAGTTTTTCCAATTAGAAGAAACTTTAGGCCGCAAAGTAAGGCTTGATGATTTAATTCCTGAGCTCTACACATTACTAATAAAAGAATTTGGGGAAAATATATTGCCAGATTCATTTGACCTCAGTCTAGTAAATAAAATGATTAAATTCAGAAAATATTCGACAACTAATGGAAATAATGAAGAAATCTAAAGCTTTCCATGTCTTCTTTCATATGTCTAATAATTAATTTAGACGAATTAAGGGTAAAAAAGAATGAATATCTTCCTCATACTACCTTTAAGTAGACATCCTGACTACGAGGGAATCCTCTCAAGCAATGCTCAAGGCTCAAAACTATTAATACATAGTCAACATGCTGATAGATAAGCAAGAAGACCTAGTTATACTGTGAAAAATGGAAACTCTGAACATATAATATTTAATGAATCTGCAGGCTCTGAAGAGATGAAAAGTTTTTCTAAATTCCTTGATATTAGCTCTTAAAGCACAACCTCTTCAACTACAAGCTCAGGCATCATGCAAGCTCATTATGCCAAGAACCTACTATTCCAAAACACAGCTCCTAAAGTAATTAAAATCAATCTAATATTGGTGATCACTATGATTGTGGCATTTTTCGTTATTAACATTTACAATCTAGCCGTTTTCCTCAACAAACACTCATTTATCAAGGGTAGATTCGATACCTACTCTTATATAAGTCAGCGGAATAGTAAACTCAGAGCCTCATTACTTGACCTTAAAATGATACATTCTATAGTCTAGGATGTTAAAAACCTTAATTAATCTACTATTCTGGTTGAGGGAGATTCAAGGCTAGGCTTCTATATGAGAGATCTAAAATCAAACATCGAATTGGTAAGATAATATTCTGACCAGTTCAATTAGTTCATTATGAATAATTAAGAGTACTACTCATTTGATATGCAGTTCGAGGACATAAGCTTTTTAACTGAAAAAGGATTTCTCTACACAGAGAATGTCTCATACAAGCACTCAATAAACTTATTTATGTCCTACGCTGATTAAATTAATTTAGATGACTTTGTCAAGCAAAAACCCATGCTCAATGTTACTAATTATGCTAAAAACTACTCAATAGTTTCAAATTCTTCGAATGGAAAGATACTGAATAGAAGCTTGACGCAATTGGAATAGGGTTTATTCTTTTTATTTGAAAATGGAATTTACAAAATGTCATAGCTAGGCCAGAGATAAATATTCATGCTGACTGAGGCTAGTGCTCAGCAAACTGATGAGGGTATTTTAATGCTAAATATATCAACATATGTTTCAATCACTATAGTTACTCTGATTGGCATCATCATATTCCCTCTAGTTACAAAAATTATTGAGCGTCAATACTCAGTAATTCGATTCTTCAATTATCTAGATATTGATACCATAGAAAAATTGATTTCTTAAGGAAGTGATTTTCAAAAAACATTGCAAGTAAAGATAGGAAGAGTCACGACCGAAAACAATTAATCACATGCAACTCAAATGAACTTGAAAGATAGTGTGGAGAAAGCTAATAATAAAATAAGTTAATAAAATGCTGAAGATGCATCTAAAGCAGCAAAAGACCAAATTAATGGTCAAAATACGATTGATTCTCCAAATCGATTTACTCCTAAATCAGAAGGAAGATAGAAAAAACAGGTCACATATAAAAAAGGTAAAAATCCACATAATTCTCATAATGATAATAAATATAAAGGACCTAATTTTGTTGCAAATGACAGCAAAAAATCATCCAGAAGAAATAATTAAAGACAAAACATATTCACGGAAGATAAAGAAGATTTAAAATATCCCAAAGAGGAAAAGAAAGCTAATGAGAATCATAAACATAGTGATGAGGAAGATGAAAACCATGCAAACGAAGATGAAGAAAATCATGATCCAAATCTGAAGAGATAAAAAAATCAAAAGGCTTCCCATCACAATTTTCTCGAAGGTGATTTAGGTAAATTAGATATTAGTAAAAACAAACAAATAGCTGCCTAAATTACCAAGCTTTCATTTTAAAAGCGTTTCAAAATATGCTTTTTACTATCGATTTTGATTGTATATTTAAATTCTTCTCTCGTTATTTCGTTCTACCAAAGCCAGTTAGTTTTTAGCAACGATAAAGACAGCGCATAAAGAATAAATAAGTTTTATCAAAGAGAGGAATGTGCCTATAACCTCTTGTTATTTATGAGAGAAAAAATTATTAGAAATTATTCCTTGCCAATTGAAATTTATTAAAATTCAAAAGATTTCGTTATACTTCCTGCTGTTAGCTACCTAATTGATGAGTGTTTTAAAAATGAATATGAGATTTAGCAAATGAGGAAAAATTTGCCAGACTATCTTAAAAATTCAGCAGCACAAATTGAAGGTTTAGAGGGAGATAAATTATGCGAAATGACTTATGAATTAAGTGGTAGTGATGCTGTGAATTAATGTGAGCAAGCCATGGATAAAATCCTACAAAAGGGAATAAGCAATTCAATGTTTTACATTATAGGCTACATTTAGTAAATGAATTTCAATCATGATTCTCCATTATCTAGATCATAGGAATTTCTAAATTCATTGTTAAATTAAAAGAAGATCCATGATCTGGCAGATTTCACTCTACATTTTATGAGCAAAGGCTTTAATTTCTTGTAAAAATTAGTAGTTACATCAGGCTAAGACTATTTCGATGAAGCTAGATCAAATTTTATGCTATCATTTGGATTATTTATGGCAGTCACGGCTGTCTTAACTTTAATAATTGGCATATTTGTTTTTAGAAAAACTAAGTAAGCCATCTTAGACATTTAAAATATGCTGGTTTTACTTCCTCTTGACGAGTTAACACCACCATAGAGAGTAAAAATTGAGAATTACCTAAATAAGTGATTAAATTTATAAATTTAAATTGATAATTATTAAACTTGATTTCCTAATAATTCCAATCTTAAAATTTTTCTTCAATTTTGATCTTTGGGGTTTTGGGGTTTTGGGGTTTTGGGG